TTTGTTTATGTCGGCCTGAGAAGCCTTTTGGTCAAGATGTATTTTTGTACTTCATTTTGTTGTATTAAAGCTATGTAAAGATGTATGCCATTCCATTTGACTTATGCACTGCTCTTATGGACCACTTGTATTTTAAATTATTGCTTCTGCACTTGTGAGCCCTATATATTTATACTCTGATTGTGTGTGAATTTTCAAGGTTGGCCTTCGGTAATTACGGATTACTGGCCATCACGGCACCAAACTACTAGGGGCGGTTTGGGGTCGTGACAGAAACGAACTTTGGATCTCTGCCAGACACAATTGAGACCGAAACACCGTGGAGTCTTACAATTTCGTTCACGTAAATTACAGCGAGTTTGCCTGCATTGTACTGGGTCTTCACCGGCAGAAAGGGTGCAGATTTAGTCAATTGGTCTACAATGACCCATATAGAATTCATACCTCGGGGAGTCAGTGGCAAGCCCACAACAAAATCCATGGTCAGATGTTCCCATTTTCATTATGGAATCAGAAGGGGTTGCAGTAATCCTGCTGGTCTCTGGTGCTCTGCCTTTACTTGCTGACATTGTAAACATTTAGCGACGAATTCTGCAATCTCCTTTTTCATATTTGGCCACCAGAAATTTTGTTTTAGATTCCAATACATTTTAGTGCTTCCTGGATGCATTGAAAGCCTTGAAGCATGTGCTTCTTCCATCAGCTTTCGTTTAAGTTCTAGTACATTAGGGACACATACGCGGTTTTGAAATATAAGTACAGAATCCATCAAAGTAAACCCCGGTTTCGATTTTGCCTCCATTTCATCACGTATCTTCCTTAGAGCTCCATCTTCCATTTGGCGTAATTTAATCTCCTCAAGTAATGTCGATTGGGCCATCACTGTTGCCACTATTGCCTCCTGACCATGTATCACCAAGTCAACCTCCATCTTATTTAGATCACTTACCAACTCCTTTTGTTCCGTTGGTATACTTGCCAAATTCCCTGTATTTTTCCGGCTAGTGCATCTGCTACCGCATTGGCTTTACCAGGATGATAATGGATTTGCAAATCGTAATCTTTAATAAGCTCCAACCACCGCCGCTGGCGCATATTCAGTTCCTTTTGGGTAAAAAGGTATTTGAGGCTTTTATAATCAGTATAAACTTTGCAAGTAGTTCCATAAAAATAGTGCCGCCATATTTTTAGAGCAAAAACTACTGCAGCTAGTTCCAGATCATGTGTGGGATAACTCTTCTCATGGGGTTTAAGTTGTCGGGAGGCATAAGCTATCACCCTTCCATTTTATATAAGCACACAACTAAGTCCCTTATGTGAAGCATCACTGTAAATCACAAAACCCTCAGTACCAGATGGTAGAGCAAGGACCGGAGCGGTAGTTAACTTCATTTGTAATTCTTGGAAAGCAGATGCTCGTGGTTCTGACCATTCAAATGCAACTCCCTTTTTAGTCAACTGTGTGAGTGGTACCGCAATCTTAGAGAAGTCCTGAACGAATCTCCTGTAATATCCGGCTAACCCCATAAAGCTACGTACTTCGGTCACATTCGTAGGAGTTGGCCAATTCACGATTGCCTCAATCTTGTGTGGATCGATAGAAACTCCTTCCTTTGTTATTACGTGCCCCAAAAACGCCACCTCATGTAGCCAGAATTCACATTTCTTGAGCTTCGCGTATAACTTCTTTTCTCGGAGGGTTTGAAGAATTAAGCGAAGATGGTCCTCATGTGCTCTTTTAGTGTCCAAGTAAATAAGAATATCATCGATAAAGACCACTACAAATTCATCTAAATAGGGCTTAAAGATGCGATTCATCAAATCCATGAAGGCCGCTGGTGCATTAGTGACTCCAAAGGGCATAACCAGGAATTCGTAGTCACCATATCGAGTTCGAAATAATGTTTTCTCAACATCATCAGTTTTAACTTTTAATTGATGGTATCCAGACCGTAGGTCAATTTTTGAGAAGACTTGTGCTCCTTGTAGCTAGTTAAACAAGTCGTCAATCCGTGGTAGTGGGTACTTATTCTTAATTGTTACCTTATTAAGTTCCCTGTAATCGATGCAAAGTCGGAGTGTTCCATCCTTCTTTTTCACAAACAGAACCGGTGCACCCCATGGAGAGAAACTCGGACGAATAAACCCCTTATCCAATAGATCTTGCAACTGAGTCTTCAATTCTCTCATCTCAGCTGGTGACATCCAGTATGGAGTTTTAGAAATGGGTTGAGTCCCCGGGACTACTTCAATTGTAAACTAAATTTCACGATCCACTAACTCTCCTGGCAATTCTTTTGGAAAAACATCTGGAAACTCACAAACAACTGGAATCTTATCAGTGTTCTCATTCAGTGCTTGCCCTTCCAATACACTACACAAATACCCCCGGCATCCCTTCTGGATTAATCTACACGCCCTTGCCGCAGAAATCAGATACGGTGGAGAAGTCACCCCATATCCTTGAAAAGTGGATTCCGATTGCCCCGGAGGATGGAAGCTGATCTGTTTAGTTAGACAGTCTATGGTGGCCCCATATTCACCCAGCCAATCCATTCCCAGAATAATGTCAAACAAGTTCATATCAAGAGGTAATAGATTAGCATATACACGAACATCCCCAATTAGAAGTTCACAAGCAGAAAGTAGAGAGGTACAGAGCATAGATTTTCCCATAGGTGAAGATACGCACAACACATAAGTCAATTCTTCTTCAGGTTTATCTAAATGCTTCGCAAATAATTTTGACACAAAGGAACAGGTAGAGCCAGAATCAAATAATACTTAAGCAGAATGATCGTGGACCATGAATGTACCTGACACCACTGTTGCTGCACTCCGAACATCTCCTGGAACCAACGCAAATACCCTACCTTGCCTCGCCGTATCCTTGTTGTTAATAGGTTTAGCAGTTGTCTTTGCATTAGGAGCTGGTGTAGACCCCGCTGAACTTGTGGCAGCCTTATTACCGTTTTGTTGATTCCTTTGCAGACAATCTTTTATCAAATGACCCGTTTTACCACATCGGAAGCATGCTCCAGACAGTCGGTGACAAATGCCACGATGCCTCCATCCACATTCTGGACACACAGGAGCGGAATTGTGAGTAGAAGTGGTAGTGCTAGAGGTCCCTGAATTTTGCTTCTTGTTTGGCGGAGTAATTGCCCCCTTAAACCATTGGTTGTTCTGTATTTTTTCTTTCCATTCAGAAATTCGAGTATGAGCGGCAATATTGCCTTCTGCAATAACAGCTCTTTCTAACACATCAACGTAGGTAGGCAACTTCAACACATTAACTCGGTCTAAATAGTATCCTGCAATCCCCCCTCAAATTTTTGCGCCTTCTTATATTCTGTATCCACCATGTGAGGTGCAAACCGGGCTAGTTCCGCGAATTGGGCTTCATATTCGGCAACAGTTTTATTTCCTTGTCTCAATGTTTCAAATTCGGTCACCTTCTTGTCTCGCATACTCTGGGGAAAATATTTATCATAAAACAGCTCCAAGAATCTGTCCCATGTTAACCCCTGGTGCATTGTTCTTGCAAGCATCCACTACCTCCGCGCTTCATCTTCAAGAGTGAAAGCAGCAAGCTGCACCTTTTGGACTTCAGTACAAGGAAAGACTTCAAAAAACTTTTCGATTCCTAACACCCATGCCTCAGCCTTCATTGGTTCGATTCCTCCTTTAAATGATGGTGGTTTCATCTTTTTAAACTCCTTTGTAAGTGTAATGGTGCGGTCCTCAGCGTGAAAATCTTGCACTACAGGTGGAGGTATCGGTGGTGGTGGCGGCTGTGGCTGTTGTTACTATTACTGTTGTCGTAAGGTCTCCGCCATTTCCATAATAATCCTTTCCATTCTATCCAACCGTGCTGAGGTAGCTTCTTCCGGATCTTCTGTCCTTGTTCGCACCATATTCTACAAGACAAATAATTACAACATACACAGAAGACACAAGAACATGGTTCATGATCATAAGCGTTAGCAAAATACATATGACGTTGCTATCAATCGTTCATTCACGCATGATGCCTAAATCTTGCAAGACATCCTAGAGCTCAATGGACCCGTGTGTGAGATAGCAACTCGTGCTCTGATACCACTTGTCACGCCCTAAACGTGCCCCTAACAGTCTGGGCATGACCTATTCGGAAACAGACACTTAACCTATTATATATAACCTGAGAGGCCTGACTGGAAGCGTTAGATGGTCAAAAATGACCTCAAAATGTATCCATTGAGCTACTATCATCATGCCAGGATCACACAACAACCAATAATTAAACATACAAAAGATATGCATCTGAGACTGAGTTATTTACATACAGTTATACATCACCAATTCTAAGATTGGGCAACTAGCAAAATAGTAAGCACATTCCAACTTTAGTCGGTAGTTGGTACGGGTACAAGCCAAAATCCACAAAACTCTAATAAGTGCACGGCTTCCCCAAATGCCTGGGTATACTTAAGTTGACAAAAAGTAGATGATATCGATGCTAGGACTGACCTCCAAGTGGGTTACCTACAGAATTAAACAAGATTATAGAGTGAGACAAGCTCAGTGAATAACAGTACTTAAACAGTTTAATACCCAATTTAAATCGTAATACATCATACTGTATTCATAAAAACAGAATCCATATAGTTAATCGGATGCGGTATCACTTTTAGAACGGCCTTAGGCCCAGTTATAACAGAATGGTCTATTGGCCCAGCAAAACAGAACAGCCTTTCGACCCAGAAGTTTACAGAACAGCCTTTCGGCCAAACAGAACAGCCTTTCGGCCTAGAAGTATACAGAACAGCCTTTCGGCCCAACAGAACAGCCTTTCGGCTTAACAGAACGGCCTTTCGGCCCAGAAGTATACAGATGTACAAATTTCCTTCAATGTTCACATTTCTGTCAAGTTCACTCTATACGCATGTTAATGTAGTAACTTATGGTAAACTGAATGTTAATAGCATTAGGTATTAACAGTAGATAGATGTACATTTAATGTACTATAACTCACAGTGTGAAGGCGGAGCCCTCGTTTCTCCCGGAGTGTGTCCTACACACATAGAAGATCACAAATTAGTTCTCTTTTCTTTATTCAATCATTCTCTGATTCGCTTAACTTCGACTGAATTTATAGATATCAAAATGGTATTAAATACAGATTTCGATAATATTAGAGGGTCCAAAAACGGAGCATCTTGAAATTTCCATCCTGGGCCGCACGTGCGGCTGTGAGCCCCGCACGTGCGGCAAACTCTCCCGCACGTGCGGCAGAATGGTCCCGCACGTGCCTTTTAAGCAGAACCAAAACTCCAAATTTTCCCATTTTCGCACACGTGCGGCCGTGACTCCCGCACGTGCGGCAATTGTTCTCGCACGTGCAGCCATGACTCCCGCACGTGCGGTGATTCTGCATATTTTCAGTCCGAAATTTCCATTAAAACCCCATTTTTTGTAGATGATCACAAGGCTTCCAATAGGTCTAAAAATTATGGAAATAAAATTGCATTCACATACATCAATCTAAAGTAAATAAGATCATTAACTTTAAGTTCAACAATATAAGTTAATTCCATATTATTCCATCTTCACATACACATACCCACACACATGATCATAAAGGTGGATGTAACTTGATAATTGAGAGAACAAGATGTATCTTCTCACTAGATCACTCAAATTAAAGAAAAAAAAATGAAGGATGAGATTATCATGTTAATTTTTCGATCTCTGCACTTAAAACTTCCATTACAACTCTAAATTACATAACACCAAAGGGATTTCTACCCAAAGCAAGGAAAGGATGAAATTAGATGGATTACTCTCACCTTGGACTTCAATCTCAAAGGAGCTTCTCAATTTTCCTAAATTCTCTTCGTTGTTGATCTTCTCCAACCCTCTCTTCTAAACCCTTCTCTTGGGAGATATTTTAACAAGGTTCTTCACTCCATATGTAAAGAACACAAGTATATATGTATACTTAAAGGCATATAAAGACAAAATTCAATCGTTTAAACATCCCAAATTGAAATTTGTCAGAAAATCTCATTATAGCTTAAAAATCATGCCAAGTTTAAATCTTAAATCAATTTCAGACAACTAAGCCTCTAAGGCTTCCAATTTCAGATTTAAGCATTCTAAATGTGATAGATAATGTTCTTATCAAACAGATAGGAATCCATATTTCCAAGTTTCACTTAGTTCAACGAAATTTCACATAGCATTTCTCAATAAACATTCAAAAGCACAGAATAGAGGACTGAAAAGATACCAAAATCGTATACGAGGGTCGGGTTATTACAGGTGGTGACCGTGCCCACATCAGAAGTTCTTGCGCCTACGCTACTACTTGTAGCTGCATTCGAACCGCGTGTAAACGCCCTCTTGGGCTGATCCTTTTCCTGGTCGATCAGACCTTGCTTCACAGCATCTTCAATCTGTACCCCAATCTCGTGTAAGTCAGCAAAGGTGGGGAGGGGTAAGACGATCATTTTCTGTATCAGCTTAGGTTGTAGGTTGCGCACAACCATCCTTATCTGATCCTTTTCGAGTGGCCGAGTTGTCATCATTGAGGCCTTGTCCCTCCATCGAGTGACAAAGTCAGAAAAGTGCTCTTTCGACTCTTGTCTGGTTGCTTCGAGATCACGAGTCATGACCTCGATCCAGGTATTGTATGAGTATTGAGCAACGAGCGCCTCGGCCATCTCCTCCAAGTTCCTTTTCGTTGAGTCCTCCAGCTTGGCGTACCAAATGGCTGCAATACCCGACATGGTACGACCGAAGAGTGATAGTTTCTGGAGTCTCGTCAAGCCCATCGGGTGCAAAATATTATAAAATAGCCTCAAATGAAACATAGGATCGCCCGAGCCATCAAAGCGACCTATGTGCGGCATTTTGAAACTGTCTAGCAATGTCAGTACCGAATCAGTGTATCCATCTTCAATATCTGGGATCGAGTTAACTCTCTGGGCTCGCTTCAACAACTTTTCGAGCTTATTCACCTTCAGCGTAGTTGGATCCACTTCAAATTCGAACGGCAATATACACTAGATTGGTTGGTGGTTTAAACATCTGAGGTGGGATTGGCAGTGGGACTGGTCCTATTGGAACGCTTATATTTCCCTGGATGTTTGTTGTTTCCCCGGGTGTTGGAACCCTAGGTGGGGTTGGGGGTGGGAGTGGGGGTCGATGCGAAGCAGATGCTCCATCTTGTTGTGGTTACTGCTGTTGTTGGAGCCTGGCAATCTGTTCTGCCTGCTAGGTTACAACCTCTGCCTGGTGTGCGGTAACCTCTGCCTGACGAGCAGCATCCCGCTGCATGGTCTCTTGGAGTTGACGCATCATGTCCTCCATTCCGACTGTAAAGTGTTAATCTGACTAAACAGGTATGTATTCCCTTTCTAAGGTGAAAGCAGATATCTCAGCCCAATTGCGTACAGGTGAGGTGGATAATCACCGCTGATCTGGTAACTGTTGTACTGATGACCTGTGCCTAACTGACCTCTGTCTAGTAAGCATGGGGTGCGAAATGAACACTGGTTGTCCACCAACTAGATCCTCAGATCGAGAAAGTCACCTTCCTCTAGTCCAGAGTGCTCAAGGGGTATCTGCCTTTTCGGAAGTAATGATGTAATACTACCTTGCAAAAAGATAAATAAAGCAATAAAAGGAAACAACAATCAAAAAACGGACAACATTTCAGCTTAGATAATGACAACAAACAGTTGATAAATTGTAAGCTGGAAAAACTCAACACAACACTGATCTCTGCCCCCAAATCACAGCCTCAAAACTGATATTCTCAAATACTGTCGTGCTCAGATTGATACCCTGACCTGCAAATTGGTACATGCATCCCTGCAGAGACAAACTCTAAAAGCACATATCAAGCAAGTGAGAGCAAAACACCCCTATGGTGGGGTAGGGTTTCCCTGTCCTATTTTGTCAGGAGCTAGAGTTTCACTATGCAGGCATGCGGTTTCAAACAACCTATATTCGGGTGAGCGACCTGTCCTAGTTTGGAATGGTCTCTATGGCTTCTGATATGCAACTAGGTCGATTGGTCAAAAAGGGTGCCTCAGGGGTGATCCCGATCCAAGGTTTGTATTCTCATCGTGGCAGAGCTCGTAACCGGTCAGCCTTGTGACACGCTTTCCCAAGCAAGCCTCTGGCAAACCGTTCAGGAATAACAAATGGCAAACACTGCGACTTAAGCCCACCAATGCAAATGCAATGTAAAGAAACACATAAGTGTAGATAAAATGACATATCATGAGTTTCGAGTCAAGTTCTCTAAGTCCCCAGTAGAGTCACCAGAAACTATAGACCGGACTTTCTTCGCGCGCCCCCCTTTCGGAGAAGGCGCGAATTTGGTCTTACTACAATTCGGACTCCTATCACGGTTCTGAATCTAATCTCACAAAGTGCAATGCGAGATTGATAAACACCAAAGAGTCCAAATCTGGCAATTGGTTTTGAAAAATCAATTTTGAATGAAAAACACCAAACATGGACTGCTTTGCCAAATTATAGAGTCGTCACCTAAATGTTTTATTTAGGGAAATTTAGGAAACCTTGACTCGTGCCAAAGGCCACGTGTCCGTCATCACCAAAGTTGCCTCAGCTAGGGAACTTGGGTACGAGGGGGGAAGGTCCTGAAATGAGCACCCCCGCTCGCCCGATCAAAGGATCGGCCTCTACTAACATGATATGCTGCTTTAAAAACACATGTGTTCTTATTCCAGTTATTAATCCAGCTTTACTATGTGATGCGCACAGCATACAAGTATAGACTCAACCGCGAGAATTGGAACAAAACAACTCGTGTTTGTTTTCGAAAATGGTTTGAAAGTGCTACTCGCAAGTAGGCTAAAGCGTAGATTTGCCACCCTCAAGTGAGCTTAGAAAAACATGATTTTGCCACTTCGCAAAGTGGGCTTAAAACTCACAATCATCGAGTTGTTCCTATTCAGGCATTCAAGCCTTCACCCACATGCATTCATGCAGTTAATCACTTAAGCAAATAGCCTCATGGAAAGTATACTATCATGGCAACACTTACACTCATGCAAGGATGATAAAACGTAAACACATACAGTGTACTCTGAGCCTATGTTAACAATGCCTAATGCAACACATGTGATAATGCAACAAAATAGGCTCGGCTATCTAATCATGGCATATGAAGTAACTTGATAACAAGCTTTGAAACACGTATTCAAGTAAGTATTGAAATACAATGTCGTTTGAATGATGCGTGATGCCCGGTGCATGCAAGACAAATGAATGATGCACGCAAGCAAGCATAAGGATGCTAATTGAAAAATGCCCGAAAACTAACCATCGAAAGCAGTTAAATAAAAGGGAGAAAGAAGTGGGGTTGGAAGACATGCACACACACACACGCACGCTTATTACAACATAGCGGCCTCACGGAGGAGGGTCCAAATAACTAGCTGAGCTAAGCTACTTACTACAAATCAACTAATTATCTATTCTAGCTAATTAATTATTACAAAACCGAATTGAATAACTAGTTACACTATAAGCTAATTAATTACAAACTGAATTAATTAATTAAACACTTAACTAATTAATTACAAAACAATTAAGCTACTGAACTAAGCAGCTAAACAATTCAGAT